ATAACAGTGCTCTATTCCGACAGAAGGATCCTGAAAGGCTGTCCCATGTCCAGGACTAAACTGGTCGCGCTGTGGTTTTGATTCACTGAAAAGGAAATCGGACTAAACTGGTCGCGCTGTGGTTTTGATTCACTGAAAAGGAAATCGGACTATACAGGTCGCGCTGTGTTTTTGATTCACTGAAAAGAACCGGTTCATAAGAGTCATTCATTTGTGAATCAGATTTCACTGCTTGCTGGTTTCTGATTAATTTGAAAGTACCGTCTTAAGGGTTATTATTCGTTCGGGAAGTGGTTTACACTCAACAGTTATACAGTTAACAATGATAAATAGTGTTCGGTTTAAACTGGCGAAAGAATGCGGGTTCGTTCAGTTAACAGAGCTGAGCATCATGAAAATAATTTGGTTTCGGTATTTAAATGGAACGTTTTTGGTTCCCAACACTAATAGCGGCTACTGACCTCCAGTGTTGGGGGTAACACATTACAAGTAACGCGAGTTACCTAATCATATTACTTTTTTCCAAGTAACTAGTAAAGTAACGCATTACTTTTTAACTGACAAGAGAATATCTGAGTTACTTTTTAAAATAAGTAACGCAAGTTTTTTGATTGCCAGCTCTCCTGTCCCCATGTTGAGAGAAATCATAAGATGTTACTGTAGTTCTAAAATAAATATGAATATGCATTATCTCACTCACACAAAAAAAACTGATTCAGTATTCCTCAAAATGAATAGAAATAATGCAACTCAGAATATGATGCAAGCCTGCAATAATTAAATGTTAAAGAGCACAAATATCCTTTATGTATTTAATCCCATTCTATTAACCAATGTCTTTGCTTCTGACCTTCGATGATCCAGTCCAATCATAATAATAAGCACAAATTACTCTAGACAAACATTTGTGTGTCTTTTTTCATTGCTGAAGTGTGTTGAAATGTCTTCTTCTGCATTCTACAGTACGGACGTAAATGTACATTTCCTTCATTTCACTTCTGCTGTGAAAAGGCTTTTTTTATATTTGACAAAAATATAACTTTTTTTATTTTTAAAAACAAACAAGCAAGCCCTGTCCAGATTTAAAAAGTAACGCAAAAGTAACGTAACGCATTACTTTCCATAAAAAGTAAGTAACGTAATTAGTTACTTTTTCATGGAGTAACGCAATATCGTAATGCATTACTTTTAAAAGTAACTTTCCCCAACACTGCTGACCTCTTCACACCGGGTCATGGAGGTCATCATCAGACCATCTGGCGTTATGGACATGTTTGTACTTATATGAAAAGCACATAAAAAAATCGATCCATCTATCTATCATACATGTTACTATTAAACGGATGCATTGAGGGCCAAACTAAAAAAATTAAAGTGAAAGTTTAAAGAATTCAAAGACATTGATTTGCATTATGCCATTTATGTTTAGTAAATTCAAAGGATTGAAGTGGACATTTTGAAACATCAAAATATTCAAGTCTGTCTCATAACAAATGTTCATGAATGTTCATTGCAACTGTTACCATAGTAAGAGACGTTTAGCTGGAGTATGCTTCCATCTAGTGACCATTTTACGCACAGCACCTGGTCAAATAAATAAAAGCTATTGATTTACAAGGGTTCAATTCCAATTCAGACCACTAGAAAACTGTAGAGTCGCTTCATTATTCTCTAAGATCTATGCTAAACTTAACAGTCTGTTATCTAGTGGCAACGGTTTTTGTAAATATTAGCTTATATTAACACCATCACTCTCAGACATGAATCACAGCTATGACAGAAAAGTGGTAAAGAACTAATTTATTCAAATAATTTATGCGTTTATATAAGTGATATCAAAAAAGGAAGGCCAAATAAACTGTCATTGCTATGGCACATGATCTCACTCCCCAAATTTCAGTTGGCGTTCTTTCTGCTGTCCGTGGAGTTCTCTGGCCCTGTTCTTCAGCTCCTCAGCTTTCTGATCATCCTTATCAGTCCCATCACCCAGTTTGTACATGCGACTGGCATTAGCACAGCCCCATACGTGTCCCAGCTCGCAGGCTCGCAGGGCGTACTTTAGAGCCAGAGGCATGTTTTTGTCCAGCCCTGGAGGTCCCTGGATTAAAAGAGCGCTCAGGTTGAAACAGCTGGGGGCGAAGCCTCCCTCGCAAGCCTTCTCGTAGTACTGCCGAGCCACCTTCGCATCAGCTCCCCCCTCCATGGCTCGCCCATCATGGGCAAGCAGAGCTATGTTGTGACAAGCGTCCACAGACTTCTTCCCTTTGCTGTTACATGCCTTCATAAAACAGGAGTATGCCGTCTTTAAACACTCCGTCACACCACCTGATGTCAAAAGAAGCAGTCAGTTGTTGAAACATAAAATAATAACAATATATTTATTTTTAACATATAATACATTTACAAATATTTATTAATATATATTTGGAATACAAATACTCTAAAGTCCAGCTATAATCTATATGGAGTTTAATTTTGGAATATGAATTATTATTTAAATATATAACTTTTATTTCTAATTATTAAAAAATTCTTTATGATTTTTGAATTAGCAAATACGTAGCAAATTATCTGTCCTTTTTCATTGCATACATATGAATTTTGTTCTTATATTTGAATATATCATCCATAACAACATTTAATAAAAATACAATATAGTAATACATTATATATATAACATTAAATGTATATTTTTATTATACATTCATATTTGTTATTGTCATTTCCTACATATTTTGATTAAAAAAAACACAACATTTTAGACTTTTAAATTTAATTTAATTTTCAGAATGTCTACTGTAGTAGACAGATAAAATACATAAATAAAAAAGAATATTTTTAACAGTCCAAAATGTGATTTATATTACAATTAAAATGAAAGTAATATGAATAAAACATATGTAGACAAGTTGAAATCCTAGCAATTCAACTGACTACAGATTTCTTTTGTTAAAAATCATAAAGGAATAATAATTGAATGTCTACATTTTGGACTAAATCCTATTTTTATCAAACCTGCATCATCTGAAATTCTAAGAAGTAAGAATAAAGAAATAGAAAGTTCTTAGATCCCATTAGGATTAAGTCAATCATACAATTTCTAGGGTTTTTATTTATTGGCAGTGGAAAAAACAAGCTTTTAGATATTAATACACTTGCATGTTAATTAAGTAATAATAAGTATTTATTAAATATTGAGTGTGTGTGTGTGTGTGGATAGTAACTGTGTGAGCGTGCACATCAATCAATTATGCAGTCCAATATGAATTATATTAATAATGAAAGACAATTATGTAATTAGAATTCTAAAAATGATTACTAGGATTGTGACATTGGGAACAAGCTTTTAAGATTTGCATTATTCTAAATTCTACTAATACATACTGGCTTTACCTTTGCCGGTGACATGGTAAGCGCCGAGCTTATAGCAGCTCTCTCCATGGCCATTCCCCTCGCAGTTGTGCTTGAGAACCTGAGCTGTGGACTCATAGTTCTTCTTCACACCCTCCAAATAATCTGCCAGCCTCTGACACCCTACCAAACCCCAGAAACACAGAAGAATGGGATCAGATGAAGCCGTTCAGCACCCGCGCGAGAGGGACAGCGCTCAACTGACCTTCAGGGTCTTTCTCCCGGTAACACTGATAACTGTACTCCACTCCTAAATTCTCCAGAAACTGCTTCACCTCCCGTTCGTCCTCAAAGTTAATCAACCCGGCCATGTGGTCACAGATTTCCGATCACTTGCACTGACCGGCTGAAGGTCTCGCGTCCGCACCTTTTGACCTTGGTCACTGATTAGTTGTGCAAAAACGCGCAGCGAAATGAATTTTAAAAAGAATAATAAAAGCATCCGTTCAAAGCACCGAGATGCGTTTAGCTGAATTTAGACACGTGCTATCAAATATGCACAATTATAAAACAGTTACAGAACAACGTGTTCACATTACACACGCACAGAAACCGGAGATCACTTCCTGCTTCGCTCAAAGTCACCGACGGGCTTCCGTAGTAGGCCCCGCCCATCTTTCTTTTTTTTGTGTGTGTGGATGTTTCACTTGCACTGACCGGCTGAAGGTCTCGCGTCCGCACCTTTTGACCTTGGTCACTGATTAGTTGTGCAAAAACGCGCAGCGAAATGAATTTTAAAAAGAATAATAAAAGCATCCGTTCAAAGCACCGAGATGCGTTTAGCTGAATTTAGACACGTGCTATCAAATATGCACAATTATAAAACAGTTACAGAACAACGTGTTCACATTACACACGCACAGAAACCGGAGATCACTTCCTGCTTCGCTCAAAGTCACCGACGGGCTTCCGTAGTAGGCCCCGCCCATCTTTCTTTTTTTTTTTGTGTGTGGATGTTTTTGTGTTAAAGGGATAGTTCACCCAAAAATGAAAATTCTGTCATCCTCTACTCACCCTCATGTCGTTCCAAACCTGTATGTGTTGCTTTCTCATGTTGAACACAACAGAAGACATTTTGAAGATTGCTGGCAATCAAACAGTTGGTGTTGCCATTGACTTCCATAGTAGGGAAAAAAATACTATGGATGTCAATGGCAGCGCCAACACAAGTTTGACCAGCAGGCGTCCCCGGCGTGTGGTGTTTCGAGCGCTTCGAATCAGTGAATCATTTTGCGAAGCAATTGATTCAATTGATTCGAAGCTTCGAAAAGGTTCGTTTCTCCCACAGCCCCGCCCCCTCTGATGCAGATCCGTTTCCCGTGCGACGGCCTTGTTTACTTGTCAACACGTCGCTGCGCTTTCCTCGCGATATAAAACCCCGTCAGAGTGACTGACAGCACGTTGTGGTCGGAGCACATACGACCCCTTAAACTACAATGCAGACGAGGAACAGAAGCTACAGTGGACTGACAGCGGCCCGTGTACTTTTAATCACCAACAAGTAGGATCCGCAAATGTTTGAAGACCGACGCGTGAAGGCTAACTAACAGGCTAAGAAGCTAAGCGCATTTCAGTCGGATTGTATTTGATCTCCGCCTCGACACCACCGGCCATTATCCGCAGAATACGAGCGTTTCTTTCGTTTTGAGGCCGTTCTGCTCCACCTCTTTGAGACCATGGTAAGGCTTTACATGTCACACTACTGTATGTAGAAGACGTGTGCAGCTCACCAGCTCGTTCATCTCGTTCTTCAGATGGTGAAGTACTCTAAATCAAGCTGTTTGTGGTAGCATGTTGGTGGTCATAAACTGTGTTCATTAGGGATGACTGACTGTCTAAGGAGTCTTTATACGCTGTTTTCTTAGTTCTTTATTGCGCTGATCGCAAGGTTGTAACGCTAGGTTCAAACCTTCAAGGGTTGGTGAGCCATGATCTTGAACCATTGGGTCCTTAAGCCAAACCAACACTTCCTCCAGCTGTCAGTTTGTAGACTACATGCTTTTCGATATTGTTTCCCACGGACCACAGAACATGATCATCTTAATGCGAGGGACCCCTATCCTAATACTTAAACATGATAATATAATACTGTGTTGCTGCCGATATATACTATACCAATTTAGTAACTTTTAAGTTACTTTTTTTTTTCTCCGCCTGCTATAGTATTGTACTGTTAAATGTATTTTAACGGTTTATTTTAATAGATATTGTATTTATTTAAATGTAACTTTATTTACGTCGTCCTGAACATGGACAAAAACATATTTATCGTGGCCACTGAAAACCATCATCTTTATGTGTCAGATATATTAAAAGTAGTGTGCTATTCTGTATTGGGTCTTTTTGTAATGTAGTTCACGACCAGATGTATTTTTAGTTTACTTTCATATCTCAGAAAAGTATAAAATAGCATTTATGGGTATGAAATGTACTTCAAATACTACATATACATTAAATTATTGAAAAATAACATGTAACTTAGAAAGAAATCTCTTGCTTTCTCAAATATAATAACTATAAATGATCTTATTACTGTATTGGCCCGAATATAAGACGACCCTGATTATAAGACGACAGATGTACCTTTTGGAAAAAAGGCTTTTTAATAACCAAATCTTGTTTTTTCTACACATTTAGTCTTCAATTATTTTCATATTGCATATTTTTCCTATTTTAATTTTAGTTTTGAAAGTATGGTAAAAACTGGTAAAATGTACCAACAATCACATTAAAAATATATACTTTTTGATATACCATAAAAAATTTTTTTAAAAACCAGGTAGCCCATCTGAATTAGGACATTTAGGCTATCCATCTAATAGTAGCCTACCAAAATCTTATTAACAGTAGAAGTTAAATCTTACTGTAGTCTTTAAATCTGGGTACTGTCTTACGTTTTAAAATCACAAAGGGAGTTTGGTCCCATCAGGCTAACGTGACAGTCACGACTCATTTTCTTTTATTTTTTACTCGCGATCTTTACAACACGCATTACATTACATATTTCATGGCACACTCGTTTTATGCGTATTTAGCGCCACCTATTGTTGTGGGTGTATTGTTGACATGTCAAAGTCTAGACCCTGAATATAAGACGACCGCGTTTTTTCAGATGTATTTCCAAGAAAAAAACATCGTCTTATATTCGGGTCAATACGGTAGTAGCCAAAAACTGCATTTGCAAAATAAGAATAAAAAATACTTGTACTGTATTTTGCAATATTGAATTTGTTCCTCCTTTTTATTATTCCATTCCCTCGTTTTAGTTCAATCGTGGCCGCGAATTAAGAATTTGTTCCTATGACTTAATTTGTTCCTTCATTTAGTAAATCATGGCTAAAGCCCCGTTCACACCAAGAACGATAACTATAAAGATAACGATATTAGCGTCCACACCAGCGAACGATATCGTCTGTTTATTCTAAGCGCACGTGCGTCTGCCGCTTTAAATTCTTGAGCTCGTTACAGCAGGATGGATTCTGATTGGCTCTCAATTTTTTATCGTTCATCAGCTGGAGAAAAATCGTTTTGAAAGGGATTCCAACGATATCGTTCCTCTTTGTCTTCATCATTATAGTTGTGGTGTGGACTCTGCTATTCTTTAATATTGAGAAAGATTTTTAGAACTATATCTTTATCGTTATCTTTATAGTTATCGTGCTTGGTGTGTATTGATTTGTTCCACTGGTTTTTGATTTAATTAAAATGAGGGAACAAATTAGTACAACAAGGTCAGGATTTAACTAAAACGAAGGGACAAAATATGTAAATATGTTGTGGGGACTAATTCTTAAATCATAACCACAATATATATATATTATGTTATTTAATTTAAATATTTATTTATTTAAATATGACACTGTTTTTCACTAATCTTTTCCACATGTCCCTGGCACTCCCTTGTGGCCCCGTAGTTGATATGAAAGGCTCTATTATCCAGTTAAGAGTCTGGTTGTCCACTCAGCTGTCTGTAAAAGTAAAACCACCAGCTTAGTCATTACGTACAATCTGACACATCAAAGAGTTGTTCATAGCCATTCGAATTAAAGAAAACCTCTCAAACCAGTAGCCTAGGATAAGAGAGGCATATGAGGGCTGAGATCACGAGGGTGTGTCTGATTTGATGTTGTTGTTGCAGGACGAGGCATCCCCGCCGTCTCTGACTGATCTGTGCATGACTCTGGTGAGCTCCAGGCTGGAGCTCTTCTGTGAGATGCGTGATGACGGCTCGCTCTCCTTCCGTGAGCCGCTGGTCTTCCCGCAGGAGCTGGCCGACCAACTGCTCTGCAAGATGGCCACTGAAGGTAAGAGCGAGCCGTCCTGTATTTCAAGGAATGTCTCACAAACTTAAGATGACATTCCTGCACATGGAACAATGATTGTGTGTTCGATATTTCTGATAGTTCATCCAAAAATAAAGACTCATTTACTCACCTTCATGTCACTCCAGACTTGTAGGACGTTCTTCTGTGGATCACAAAAGAAGATCATTTAAAGAATGTTTGTATAAAAAAATATATATTTATAAAAAACAGACATATGGTTTGGAAGAATATGAGGGTGAGTAAATGATGACAGCATTTTCATTTTTGGGTGAACTATCCCTTTAAAAAACAATTGTATCATCAAGAGGACAGAAAAAAATCATTTGAAATGTTTATCAGTAAAACAAGACAACCTTGACAATTGAAGTTTAAGGAATAATTCATTAAGAATTAAAGTTACACTATAATTTATTTAACATTATCCTTGAAAAAGTAGAATAAACAGCATAAAAGTAGTTCATATGACACATTTGCTAAATCTGAATCTTCTGAAGCTTTGTGTAAGGAACAGACCAAAATGAAATTATTCTGGTTCCAATTCAGTGTAATGATTACATTTAATAATAATAATATTATATATATATATATATATACTTTCAAATTAAAGTACTATAAACCCATTATTTATTAAAATGAGCCTCCCTTAAATCAGTATTATTTATTAAATATTGTTATTTATTAATTTTGAATGAGCTTTTTATTAATATATTTGTCAGTTTATTTCCAGAATTTTAGTTTGTTTTAGTAATTTTGTGCTTTTGTCTTTTTTTTTTTTTTTTTTGAACCTGAACTTTAATATTTATTTCACTTTTAGTAAGTTTAGTACTTGAATGATTGCCAAGGCAATATTTCTAATTTCAAGTTTTCCTCATTTTTTATATACTGTATATTATTTTAGTTTATCTAATATTTATAGGTTATTTTGTATCAGTTCTATTTCACATAATAAAAAATACGTTGGTTTTTTTTATACATTAATTTTAGTTTTAGTTCACAGTAACATTTATTTGCAATCTCTAATTTTGATTCTGAATCCCTATTCACTTTCATTGTATGGAAAAGAACATGAGCAAGAGTGTAAACATTTTGGGGTAAATCAGGCCCTGTCATAGTGAGTTTAATTAAATGAAACTAACTTTTTTTTTAATTAAAGTTATATCTTTGGCCTTTATTGGATAGGACAGTGCAGATCAGACAGAAGAGCATGGGGCGGAGAAAGGGGAATAGGTTCTGCAAAGGACCTCGAGCTGGAATTTTAACTATGCTGTATGTCGGCTCAGACGAAATTAATGAATCTATATTCAAAACATAATGATTCTCTTACAGGCCTGTTGAATGACAGCACAGTGGGAATCTTCCGAAGCTGCCAGCAGTTCCGGTTGCGTCACGCCTGCATCCGCACCGCCCGAATCTCCGCCGAGGCCTTCCACCGTGCCCTCTGCCTGCACCGCCTCGTGGAGCTAGATGCTTCACGGGTCAACGCTGACCTCACCATTGCCGACATCCTTCGAGGTTTATCATCCAGTAAAACCTTGCAGGAGAGTCTGCAGCGGCTCGTCCTGAACGGCCTGACCATGTCTTCTCTGGAGGAGCCCAGCTGTCGCTGTTTCAGTGCCATGAAGGGGTTGCGTGCACTCAGTGTGTCCAGTGTCGACTTCTACGACTCGGGCTTGGTGGATGTGTGCACGCTGCCTCGCTTGGAGAGTCTGGATATCTCCAACACCTCAGTGACTAACCTGACCCCGCTCCTGGGCTTGAGAAGCAGGCTACGCTACCTCACCATGCACCAGCTCAAGAGGCTGGAGATGACCACCGCTCAACTGCTGGCTGTGCTCAGTCAGGTCAGCTCTCCATCTGTTTTAATGCTGAGGTCACCGAGGTGACTCCCTTTTTGTGTCATTCAAGAAACAAAGGCATAAATAATTTAATGTCTCTAACAATGTCATGTGATGTGACCTTCAATTAAAAATTACATTTATATCTTTTAAATATATATTTTTTTGTGCAAATGACATGAATTATTAATTTATTAATATCATGAAGTTTTTAGGGAGTTGCACCACATGACATTTTACAACCTAAGCCATGCTTGTCTTTTCATAAAAATGTCAAATTATCTGATATTTTCATAGACTTGCTGATCTTGACATGAGGGTCTGCAGACTGCATGATATTAGAAAAAAGGGCTAATTAAATTGGGACAAATTGGTTATACTCATAAAAAAAGATAATCAAACATCTTTCTATGAATTTGTGTTTTCATAGACCACATTCCCCCAGTTTTTGACCCATTCAATATAATAATAATATGAATATTTTTGATGATATTTAATACAAATTTTAATATAATTTGTTAATACTATTATTCTGTAAAATTGAATATTTAATAAATTTTATAGTTTAACTGTAAAATGACATTAGTAATTTGCCTTAATTTATTTTCAAAGATGAAAAGAATCAAGCTTTTAAATATTTATCTTAATTTAATATTAATAAGCGGTGAAGCAGTTTCCAGCAGGTACGTAGAAACAAGACTAAACCATCAGGTAAAAAATGTGATGTAGAAAGCCCATCGTAGCTGAAATAAAATTATAGCTGAGAATGTTAAATGTATTTTCTGTGAGATGGCTTAAAGTTGGGATCAAATAAAATAAAAGGATAGTTCCTCTAATTTTGTCCTCTAATCCTCTAAATGCTTAATGCAAAATGTTATATGCACTATAAATCTAGTTTATAATAAGCAAAACATGCATTTCACTAAATGAACACAAGGAAGAATTAACATTTACTCATTTAATTTACTATGCATGAATATATTTATGCTTCATAATAAAGAGCAGTATTTGTATTTTATACTATATGTGAATATATCAATGTTTTATACTCTATATTATTTATATAGCTATGTTTATATTCGGATTTAAAAAATTGAATTCTTTTTTTAGTACTGAATTCATTTATTGAAATGGCCAGTTTGCACATATCCATGGGAATAAATCAACCTTACCTATTCAAAAGAGTGTTATTGTTAAAACAATAAATTAAAAATCATTTTTGATTAAATATTAGATGGGGGAAAAAAACATTAGAAATGTTGAAATGTAGAAATTACTAAAACTGAAATAAAAATACATTTAAAAAATAAATTAAATTTAAAGCTAAAAAATAAATAGTAAAATTTTCAAACTTTAATTAAAACGAAACCTGAAAATATATAAATGAACGCTAATTCAAAATATTAATATACTATAATATTATATAAATAATATTAAAATAACACTGACTCAAATGCTCTTTTTACTACTGAATTAAGCATCGTAACATGACACTACTTTAAAGGCATTTAGGAAAAACAGATTAATATCACTGCAGTATTTACTATGTTGCTTTTACATCACAAGCAAAATCGCCACTAGTATATTTTGAATATTTCAATATTATTCGGCTCAAATTGTTTCCCTCAGCGGATTCATAAATTAGATTGTATGGTATGATGAATGTATTAAGTAGTCGGGTCACTTTCACTTGGCAGCATGATTGTGTCAACACTTGTACAGGAAGTAGACTTTTCACACCAAAGTATGTGACTGGAGCGGCGTGGTTTTTGACTTGGCGTGGTTATCAAGAATTCACACTTTAAACATCATTGACAGATAGATAGCAGGAGGTTATATCTCAGGCATGTTTGTTTGTAGCATGTGGATACTCAATACTGATTGGGTGAAATCATGTTTTAAAACAGTTTATGGTACAGGTAGTTAATCTCCACTCTAAATGAATGTGCTGCTCCATTGCTGCACACGTGCACAACACACAAGCTCGCTCATAACGTACAGATTGCGTGCACATAGAAACATTCAGGAGTGCTGAAAATTGTCAACGCTTTTCCTGTGATTTATCAGCTTAAAAGCGGAAAAGCTACAGCATATTCTTTGTTTCTGAAGTAACTACAACCCTCAGCTTCGCCATAGTAGAGAGACGCTGCACAGACAAGTCAGTTAAACAGCCATTTAATATAGACTTGGGCTAATTGTAGAGTTCCAATAAACCACGTTAAAACTATTCTTCTAGTATAGTGTATTTATTTTTCATTTAAAGGTGACGTATCATGAAAATCTGACTTTTCTAGGTTTTAAGTGCTATAATCAGGTCCACGGTGCCTCTGCCAACCAAGGAAACGTGAAAAAGATTAACCCAGTAACTTTGTTTTGCTAAGCCTTTCTCTGCAAGCGTCTGAGAAAACGAGCGCGTCTGATTTCGCTCCCCTAGTGACGTTTCAAAGAGATCTCATTATAATATTACCGCCCCTTAACTTTTTGTAACTCATGTGTGTTTTTAACGTAAACTTGTGTGTGAATGAGAACTTAGTTTAGTACTCGCATGCTGTGACAGCCGCTTTCTGTGCGTGTGCACTCAGAAAACCATATTTGAGAAGTTTAAACTAATATGGTTTAAAACGCATGATTTCAGCACGATAAACATGATAATCAGAAACAAAACAGATGTTTTTAGCAGGTACGAGCTGTAATGGCACAGCTCTATTCTGGAAAAGGGGGCGGGGAGCAGCAGCTCATTTGCATTTAAAGGGACAGGCAAGAAAAACAGCGTGTTTCTGCTTCCACTCAAAATAGGCATTTTCAAAATTATATAATAAAAGATCTGTGGGGTATTTTGAGCTGAAACTTCAGACACATTCTGGGGACACCAGAGACTTATATTACATATTGTAAAAAGGGGCATAATATGTCTCCTTTAATAGAAGTTCTGAACAGACGTATAGAAATACTTTAGCCACAAATTTCGTCATGGAGCGGCGTTTCTGATCAGTGGAGCGAGGAGTGGGAAATGCTAAACCCGGAGCGGAGTGATTATAGAATGCTTGGGGTGCGCAGGAGAAATTGTTGCCGCTCCTCTCGGCTCACATACTCCGTTTCACACAATAAGCATTTGTTCTTCCTGAGAACATTCAACATTCTAATTTTACACGACCATTCATTTCCCCATGATGATACATCATTTCAAGAATGAGGAAAAGATTTTACAGGTGCCAACTATGATTTCCCTTTGAACAGTTGTTCTGTTCCCCCCCCCCAGCTGCAGAAGAACTGCTTGCTGTCTCTATGCAGTGATCGAATCTTGCAGGAGGTTCTCTTCAACAGGTAACACTTTTCATTTTCTGCTTAAAAATGTGATGATAATCACTATAATCAGTTTTTGTCAAGCTGCTAATAATACCTGAGGTAATATCAATACATATTAAAGTAATTTAGAAAGAGAAATCTAAATGTGCATGTTATTTTCATCTGTTTTGCAAGAGCAGTATCATATCTGTTGGTCTTTTGTTGTGTTTGACTGTTGCTTTTTGAAACTACCATATTCAAAAGTTAGAGGTTATTATGAGTTTTTAAATGTTTTTCAAAGTGTCTTAGTGCTTAGTGCAAGTGCTTACCAAGGCTGCATTCATTTGATAAAAACAGCAATACTACTGTAAAAACAGTAATATTAGAATATATTTTAAAAAGTAATTTATTCAGCATCATTACTTCAGTCTTCAGTGTCACATGATCCTTCAGAAATCATTCTAATATGCCGGTTTTGTTGTGCTGCTAATTGTTTTTAAGATTCTAACATTAATTGTAATATTATAGTCACTTTTGATCAATTTAATGCATCCTTGCTGAATATAAGTATTGTTAAGTATGTCGAAAGAATAAGTATGTAGACTGTTAACTTGAAACTGTGTGATTACAGACAGTTGTCACCCTTGGCAAGTGTATCAGCCAATCAGAATGTAGAATTCAGCAGTTCTGTTGTGCAAATACACAAAGTCTACACACCTACTCATGACTGTTTACAACATTTCTAAAATGCAATAACATTTTAGATGAAAAGGTTATCAGATAAATGCTTTTGGTTCAAACTGGTAGTGTGTTGTCTTGTTGACGGATTTAAACGTCACACCAGTTTATGTGGATCAAATATGATGTTTGTTCAGGTTTGAAGCTGCCAAGCTGGTCATGCAGTGGCTGTGTAACCACGAGGATCAGAACATGCAGAGGATGGCTGTGGCTATTATCTCCATCCTTGCTGCCAAGGTGAGCAGGTGCAGTCGGCACTTGAGAACAGGTTTAACCGTAGAGAATAAACATGGAAGCCTGGAGGCTTCCAGAACAGATTCAGAACATTCTATCGCGGTGATGCATCATGAAATGCTGAGTGACAGATTCTCCCAGTGTCACGTCAGCCAGCACTTCCCCTCGGGGGAATCCAGTCACCATTCTGAAATGCATTCCACTTCGTCAAGTGGATAAGGGAAGTTTATATGGACAGACCCTCGACCTCGAGTGAGTCGACTCGTTTGTACACTTCAGGCAGCTCCATATACCACAGTGCAACACGATTGTGACATCCCAGCAGGCTGCGCTTAAAAGGACAGTTCACCCAAAAATGAAAATTCTGTCATTTACTCACCCTCAAGTTGTTCCAAACTCAAGGAAACAAACTCATACAGGTTTGGAACAACTTGAAGTTAGAAGAGAAAGAATGTTCATAACCAAACAGTTGACTTAAATAGGTTATGGGAAAAGAAAAAAAAAAAACTAACTCAACTCTTTGTGTGTGTTTCTTTAATAGTTGTCCACTGAGCAAACTGCACAATTAGGAGCTGAGCTTTTTATCGTAAAGGTAAGTTTATTTTATTTTACATTTGTAACGCTTGAATGGGAGGAATAGTGATTCTTATCTCTCTCACACTCTTCACATCAACTCAGCAACTCCTGCACATTGTGCGTCAGAAAACGTGTCAGGGTATCGTGGACGCCACGTTGAAGTTCACACTCAGTGCTCTGTGGAACCTCACAGATGAATCTCCTACCACCTGCAGACACTTCATAGAGAACCAGGGACTAGAGCTCTTCATCAAAGTACTCGAGGTAAACACTTCAAACCTTTTTATAGAATTTTTGGAAGAACATAACTGTACTTTGTTAAAAACCTGCCTTAAAGTTCTCATCTGAAAATATCTGTTTTTCCAGTCCTTTCCATCAGAGTCGTCCATTCAACAGAAGATCTTGGGTTTACTGGTAAGAAACAGTGGGGGGGGTCAAAAGTTCACATTGAGAATGTGGGATTCAAAAACTTTAAAATACGTTATTTTAATTAGCTTTAATTTTAGCATTTTTATTGTAGCACATAAATAATTTTATATATATATATATATATATAAAATTGCATAATCACTATTTATTTTCACGATTTATTTTTAAGAAATTAAAACTTGTATTCAGCAAGGGTTCATTAAATTGACTAAAACTGACAAAGACTTTCCTTAAAAATTCTATTTCAAATAAATGCTGTTCTGTTGAACTTTATACTCCTCAAAGAATTTGTGAACAAAAAATGTATCACATTTTCCACACAGTCCAGAGGTGGAGGTCAGTTATTTTGCCGCAGGCATCTTGGCCCACCTCACCTCACGGGGCGAGAAGGTGTGGACCCTCGACCTGTCACTCAGGACCACACTGCTAGAGCAACTGGTGCGTGCTTGCACAAATTGGGTATTTGTTTGGGTATTATTGCACCAGAGGCCTGAGTAAATCGTTTAATCATTATGTATCTCTCGCAGCATTCAGCGATTCTGAAGTGGCCATCGCCGGAATGTGAGATGGTAGCATACAGGTGAGAAATGACAAAACCACATCATGAAAAACATGCTTCACTGAATGTGAAGCATGGACCGTGTCAAGTACTAAAGGGGTCTGCTACTCAACAACAGAGTTTGCCAGGTCTGGTCTCAGGTCGAGCAAGGTTTTGGTCATGTTTTTATAGAGCACTATTACTGTTGAAATTTTAATCCATTATTAAAGTTTTGAATTCAGTTGATTAGATTTTTTTTATTTATTTAAACCATTAAAATGGCATCCTAAAAAATTAAAACTGAAAACACAGAATTAAAAGTAAAATGGATTTCATATGGCTCTTATATCCTCAAGCTTGTGTTGGGCTTGAAATTTATTTAAAAAAAAATGTCTAAGAATATATTAGAAGATAAATATGATATTTTTGTTTTCAGTGAAAAGTCAGTGAAAGACAACATTAAGTAAATGTTACTTGAACCACAGGAATGAATTGAATAATGCAATATTATTTTTCTATTTATTTTATGTCATGCAAAATTTGTACTTAAATGTACAAAAAAATCTGTTGCTGTGTGACTAAATGTCTAAATACAATTTAAGGTACAGATTTTTATCAATAAACATTTAATATATGATGTTAAATTTGTAAAATGCATAAAATGTCCATTAATAATACAAAAATGGCAACAAGGTAACAACAAGACGCTTGCTTATCCTAAATGAAGTTATTAACAAACATTGACAGCACTGGCTGTGTTGAGCAGTGTTGTTTTTGTATTTTAAATATACTATTACAGTATTTATTAATATTTGAATTAAGGACAATAATGTCAATAATGACAATAATTATGGTCAGTTTTCATTTCCTAATTTAATTTTAGTTTCTTAAAATTAATTTGTAATTATATGTGCCTTTTCCCTTTTTTATGTTTTACTTTAATTCTATTTCTATTTATTTTTATTTTATTTATTCTGTTGTTACAGTTATTTTAGTTTTTTTGCCAAGGCAACATTTCTAATTTTCATTTACGTTTTTCATCTAATATTAGTGTTTTATTTCAGCTTTATTTCCATAAAAAAAAAATAATAATAATAGTTGCTTCTAGGAGACTCGTTGGGTTCAGGCTTCAGTTTAATGCTTGTGCAGACCCCTTTCAAGCTCTCTTCTACTATGCACTAGAATGAAATTGATTTATAGTATTGTAAAGAGATCAAGTGTTTAGTGTACATCTCTCTGTGCCTTTTTCAGGTCGTTCAACCCTTTCTTCCCTTTACTGGAGTGCTTCCAGACCCCAGGAGTCCAGCTGTGGGCCGCATGGGCCATGCAGCACGTCTGCAGCAAAAATGGTGAGATCAGCACCATAAACCCAACGCTCCAAAGCCCAGAGACTTTCTGTGTTCTTCATTTTATTTTCCCTTTCTGCCTTCATGAATGCAGCGGGCCGGTACTGCAGCATGTTACTGGAGGAGGGAGGACTGCAGCAGCTAGAGGCCATGAGGTCACATCCCAAAACCCACAGCGACGTGCTGCGATTGGCTGAAAGCATCCTTGACAGTTTGCATCACCACAAAGCGCGCACAGGATACACAGGACCGCCCAAAATACACGCGCATAGAGGTACATGTCCACAGAAGAACCAAAGTCAAACGGTTTTGAAATGACAGAACGGTTTCTTTTCATTTGTAAATTTTTTTTAAATTCCATATTTCTCTTTGTTTTCCAGAGAAAAACGTTCCATGACAAGATCAGTGGTCTCTGGATAGGACACCACAAAAAACTGGAAGCTTTTTGTATGTGTATGTGTTCACTCGTGCCCATCCGTATGACAATGACGCTCTGCTGCTCACGACGGAATCCGTTATTTATTTGACATAAGAAATAAGTCTCCGTGATCTGAGGAAATGTTTATTTAGACGGGCAGCAGCTCAGAGAGTGTTTATGTTAAAACGTGGGACGTATGTGAGAGTTTATATGTTTGTGCATGTGTGTATTAAGAGCATGTGCATCAGATTGCTACGTATGCATATTCAGATTTTGGATGCAGCTCCTTAGGAAATTTCATTTATTTGACACATTTCTGTCCTGTTGGGCATAAAATGCATTAATATAAAGACACAACAGATACAGTTGTGTTACATAGAAATACATTAACTCTTTAGTAACGTTCAGTGTGGAATGTTAAACTGCATGTGTGAGAGAGGAAAAAAAAAAGTGTGATCTGTGTGTACAAATGTGAGACAACCGCTTGTCAACACACATGAGAGCTTTAGGGATGAAATCTATTTTTATAGACTGTATAAAAACGGTGGCAGATGACAATGTTTATGGTGTGGTGTTGCACGCAAAGTATTATGATCCAGATTTGAGTTTGTTTCCAAAAATAGTACTAAGTGGACTGAACATCATGTAAGCTCAGACGAAAGATTCCTCAAGAACCCGGAGCTCTTCAGAAGCAAATGAAACTGGTGGAGATGATTAAAATCAAAGCTTTTGCCTTTGCAGGAATATGTCAATAAATGGATTGTTGCCTCATAAACCTTGTAAAAAAAGGTACAAGCACCTTGTAAAAAAAAGTCAAGAGGAAGATTTTTGTTCTGATCGTGGCATCTTTGGCGCGCTGGTGATTTGCCAAAATTCATTGGATTTGCCTTTTTGCGAAACATGCTTGCATTGATCTTTAAGTTTGATTTAATTTAACGCCAATGAAGCTGTTAAACAGCAGGTTCAGCTTGTCTTGTTTGAAGTTGCAATTAAAAAAAATTATACTCCATTTGTTCCAGTGATCTAACGAAGCTTTTTTTTGTATATAAATGTTTCAATTCCCTGGATGTGTATGCTTCTTTTTTTGCAGCATGGATTTGGTTTTCTGTTCGTAACTGGGCCATGTTTTATGATGAGATAGGTGCTCCAGGAAATGTGCTTTGTTCCAGAAAATCTTATTGTGGCATGCAGCTGTTCTTGCAGATGGCATGAAATATAATTATTTGTTATAATCTGTACTGTAATTCAAATTTTGTTTGGCAAATTAGGCCAGGTTTATACACCTGAAATACATCACAACAATGTCCGTTTTTGGATTCAGCTTCGACATTAACAAATATTGGCGTTAAATGGTGTATAAATGGACCAAATGAGTTCACTGAACTCTGCAGGCCGAGCGTGGAGACCCTAGGCATGTATGTGGCCCTCCATGACAGATTTCGGTTCTGTGCCACACTACTGTTCTCTTCCTCACTCAGAATGTGGATTGAGCAGCAAAACAAGAGTAAACTAGTGTCATACTGCTGCTCAGATTCACAGTTATGCAAATTATGTTTGGGGAATAAAGAATGTAAAACCCCTGCTGCTTCGGTCTGCTGTTAATCTTTATTAATACATTCATTTTAAAGTATTTTTTTCAAATTAAAGTATCCTTAAAATTTGAAGAATATCCTAGCTCAAAATTGTACTTTATTTTTCTGTTTGCTTTTTATTTCTAGAATGCTTTTATTTAATTTTTAACCCCTTAACTGTCACTAAGTTTACTTCAATATATGATGATTAAATCCTAATCTAATCATGGCAAACTATGTATCTTTGGAAAGGTCTAAGACTCCTAAATATATATTTTACCACTGTTTGTTGTTAAAAATGATGTAGGAACAGTAATAGATTAATTTATGACAAGAGTGCATCTCAATAAATTAGAATGTCGTGGAAAAGTTCATTTATTTCAGTAATTCAACTCAAATTGTGAAACTCGTGTATTAAATAAATTCAATGCACACAGACTGAAGTAGTTTAAGTCTTTGGTTATTTTAATTGTAATGATTTTGGCTCACATTTAACAAAAACCCACCAATTCACTATCTCAACAAATTAGAATACTTCATAAGACCAATAAAAAAAACATTTTTAGTGAATTGTTGGCCTTCTGGAAAGTATGTTCATTTACTGTACATGTACTCAATACTTGGTAGGGGCTCCTTTTGCTTTAATTACTGCCTCAATTCGGCGTGGCATGGAGGTGATCAGTTTGTGGCACTGCTGAGGTGGTATGGAAGCCCAGGTTTCTTTGACAGTGGCCTTCAGCTCATCTGCATTTTTTGGTATCTTGTTTCTCATTTTCCTCTTGACAATACAATTCAGGTCTGGTGAGTTTGCTGACCAGTCAAGCACACCAACACCATGGTCATTTAACCAACTTTTGGAGCTTTTGGCAGTGCGGGCAGGTGCCAAATCCTGCTGGAAAATGAAATCAGCATCTTCAAAAAGCTGGTCAGCAGAAGGAAGCATGAAGTGCTCCAAAATTTCTTGGTAAACAGGTGCAGTGACACTGGTTTTCAAAAAACACAATGGACCAACACCAGCAGATGACATTGCACCCCAAATCATCACAGACTGTGGAAACTTAACACTGGACTTCAAGCAACTTGGGCTATGAGCTTCTCCACCCTTCCTCCAGACTCTAGGACCTTGGTTTCCAAATGAAATACAAAACTTGCTCTCATCTGAAAAGAGGACTTTGGACCACTGGGCAACAGTCCAGTTCTTCTTCTCCTTAGCCCAGGTAAGACGCCTCTGACGTTGTCTGTGGTTCAGGAGTGACTTAACAAGAGGAATACGACAACTGTAGCCAAATTCCTTGACACGTCTGTGTGTGGTGGCTAGGGCTGAACGATTTTGGAAAATAATCTAATTGCGATTGAATATGCACTTTTTTTAAAGCTCTTTATGTTCTGTATTATTCAATAAAGACAAGATATAAATCATCGTATAGTGTGACCAACACACTGTTAGATAGATTAAACATAAATGTTCTTTTCTGTAGGCCAGGCCTATAAAAACAAATCTGTTGCTTTACCACACTACTTCAGGTAATTCACAGTCACTGTAATAAACACACGTGGACTGCACTTTTTAAACACTGTCTGTTAACTTTAGACCAGTGGTTCTCAAACTTTTTTGGTTGCGCCCCCCTCAGACTACCAAATAATTTCACTAAACATTATGAAAAATTGTTTTTTTAATAAAAAAAACCCCTACAGGATTTTGTTTGTTTGTTTTGTAGATTTTAAAATGTAATTTATTCCCGTGATGACAAAGCTGAATTTTCAGCATCATTACTCCAGTCTTCAGTGTCACATGATCCTTCAGAAATCATTCTAATATGCTGATTTGTGATACATTTGTGAATCAGGATTCTCTGAGGAACAGAAAGTTCAAAATAAGAGCATTTATTTGAAACATAAATAATTTGTATCAATGCAAAGATCTTTATGGTCAATCAATTAAATGCATCCTTGCTGAATAGAAGTATTAATTTCTTAAACGGTAGTGTAAGTCTGCCTATAATACAGGCCACTGTTTATTATCTTTCACTGCAACTGTAAAATCTGCACTGTATCTGTCTAAGGCACAGTCACATAATCATGATACAGTTAAGTCAGGTGGGCAGAAGTGCAGACAAGCGTTATTGTGGCCTGACGTGTCTGAATGACGTTCCCACACTGACCGAAATAGGACATCTTCATTTTAATCTAATATAATGACTTGTCAATCATGGGGAAAACCAGAAAAGCAGGATGTTCTCATTGTCACGCAATAATTTTGTACAGTACAGAACATTCCAGTTCCACAAATCCACATGCCAAGTCATATAATGACGACGATATGACACATATTTTCAGGTTCGCTCCAAAGGCAATGAATTGCAAGGTCATGCACTTGATTACGCACGTGTCTTTTGTACCATTTACGTTGTTTATCGCGTTAAATGTGTGCTCTGGACACTAGTGGGGCCTGAGGGAAGACTGTAATGGCACATTTGAGCCAGATCTGTCTTGAGAGTATACATATTCATGGCCAGCCTGTTGTCTTGAATCATGATGCGCGACGCACCCATGTGACAGTACAGTGTCACATGACGCAAATGAGATTAAAGCACAAGTACACAATGAAATGCCTGTGGCTATAGCTGAACTAGTATGCAAACAATTTCATAACCACAGAAACATACAAACATAAGTGTACACATAATCATAGATGCATAAAAATAATATCTCTAAGCTACACTTATCAAATAATGAAAAACCCTGCAAAATTAACCACACACATAAACAGGGTCCATATACACCATCTGTAGATGTTTACTTCACAAAATTATATATATAAAAATGATTATAAATAAATGATATATACTGTATATATAGACAAATCTACCATTTTTTAGCAAGGTAGCATTAAATTAACCAAAAATGACCATTAAGGCATTTATAATGTTACAAAAGATTTATATTTCAAATAAATGCTGCTCTTCTGTGACTGCGGTCACAGAAATAAAATTACATTTGAAATACATTCAAATAGAAAAAAAGTTTTGTTTTTTTTCTACTACTACTTATTTTTTTATATATATTTGTATTATATATTTGTATGCCAAAAATACATTGTATGGGTCAAAATTATAGATTTTTCTTTTATGCCAAAATCATTAGGATATTAAGTAAAGATCATGTTCCATGAAGATATTTTGTAAATTTCCTGCCGTAAATATATCAAAACTTAATTTTTGATTAGTAATATGCATGGCTAAGAACTTCATTTGGACAAATTTAAAGACGATTTTCTCAATAGTTTGATTTTTTTTTTGCACCTTCAGATTCCAGATTTTCTAAAAGATTTTATCTCGGCCAAATATTGTCCTATCCTAACAAACCATACATCTATGGAAAGCTTATTAGAAAACTTTCAGATGATGTATAAATCTTAATTTAAAAAAATGGACCCTT